CCCTTCTTACTTGTTGTTATTCTTCTACTTATTGCTGCTATTCTATTCTATTGTTGTTAGTATCGCTGAAAATTGCACATGGTCCATAGCAACTCGTACATTGTGCGTCTCTCTCTCTCTTTTTCTCTGTGCCTGTATGTATTTGCGTTATCCTTCATTAAATCCTCCACCTTAGGACCTTAACAACAATATCTAAAACAGCGGCAACGCCACAGAAACAACCAGTAGTCAATCAGCGACCCAACCTATCCACACTTACACATAAATACACACAAACACACCCACACATAGAGACAAAAACATATATAGAAGCCATCTATAGTCATCTCTCGCACTACTTATCCTGCTCCACTTTGTGGCTCCCAAACCAAACACCCCGAAACCAAGTCAAAATATATGCCCTCTTTACCTTTCCCATTCCCACTCCCCCCTTCCTTTTTCATTCGCTTTCGTCTTCGCCAACTGTGTCGGTCTCGACTGAGTTTACAGTTAGCGGTTTGTGTTTCTGTTGCTGTTCCTGTTTCTGCTGTGCTCGGTTCTTGTTATACCCTGAACCCATTTTCAATGAGAAATCAGGGTTTTATTGAAATTTATGTAACAAGAGTCGTGGCAGACCCGACAAAGTATATACATATATTCTTGATTAGGGCGAAGAGCTGAGTCGATTTGGCCGTGTCCGTTTGTCTAACCGCCCGTATGTATGAGCGCGTCGATCTCATAAGATATGTGAACTAGAGACCTGTAACTTTTTTTCCTAGGCCCGTGTAAATCACGCGCATATCGAGCTTTTCAAAAAATCGATAAATACTCCTAATGTTTTATTATCGATTAAAAACCTTATCGAAAACTGGTTATTCATATATATCTCAAACACCTTTAAAGGTAGAGTCGCCAAATTTTAAATGTAGGCTCATATGTATTTTATATAATTTCAATTTTTGTTGTGATACGTTTTTATGCTTGCATCCTTATGCTTCCCTGTGTGTGGGTGTGTGTTTTAGCAGAAGAACTATCGTGAAATATCAATCCTTCGAAGGGTTCAGGGGATTTCGTAGTCGAAGAGTCTATTTTCCAATGTTCTTAGATATATAAATATGTTTATATATTTGTGTGGGTGTGGGTGTGTGTTTGTGCAAGTATTAGTAGAAAGGATGAGTGTATTTAATGCGCCAATGAGTAACGAACACGAGGCGAGACGCCATAAACTGAATCAGATTCCGAATCAGCCCCCATTGAAACGCATCAGCTCACAGCTCATAGCCAACGAAACGGGCCAACCCCATGCGACGACCTGAAGCAGCACATTAATAGCAAAGCAGGAACAGCAACAGCAGCACACTCACATACACACGCGAAAAGTCGAAAATGCGCAGAAATTGGCGACATGAGCGAAATACGAGAAACCAAATAAACAAGAAATGAACGAAAAGCTAAGACAAGCAATGTGTGGACATCCGTACACAGTTGTTTAAGACTGTGTGTGACTGTTTGAATGCGTGTGCGTGCGACTTTGAGTGTGTGCTGCTACCGTTTATATTAGCCATGGGAATGCTGCAATGGAGCCCGGGAGGCACATGGCCAAAGTTACAGTTCAGCTAAAAAAAAAAACTTTTTTAACCGTATCTTTTTACAGAAATTTAATAAAATCTCGTTTTGCAATGGGGTATACACGGACAAATTTGTTACAGGAACCTGTTGTATTCGTCAAATATTCGAATGTAGACAGCAGTGTTCGTACGAACATTTTGTCCGTCGACTGTGTTCACATAAAAATAGAAATGTTTCTGTTTACGAGTGTTAGTGCAAACATGTTCGACAATGGATCGAGTGTTCGCACGAACATCATTTCTAGAAATATTTCGGACAGTCAACATAGGCCAAAATGAACCGGAAATTTCTTGATTGGTTTCAATATGAGCCGGCTTTCTGACAAAATAAAAGCGAAAACTATCAACATAAAAATTTGCGAAACAAATCTTGGGACAAACTATAATTAACATAAAAAGCTGTCGAAGAAAACGCCACAATCGATGTCGTCAATGCAAAAGTAAATTGACGGGAACTGGCAAAAATAAAAAGGAACGTAAAGTCAGGTCCTTTCTTTTGTTTTAAATAAACATATGTTGTCTTTAAGGCCACGTTTTGTTTTCTTCCGCTGGCATATTCTCAGTCCAAAATTTCATTGAATTTAATTTAAAATGATGTTCGTGAACATGTTCGTGAAAATGTTCACATAGATAGTAGGCAAACTCGGCGAACATGTTCGTGTAACAAATTCGTCTGTGGATACCTCCCTTTAAAGCTGAGCTTAATCACATTGCTAAACAAGTTGATTTAGGAAGCTTTCTGTGCTGTAATTAATTTAAAAAAAAAAAAACTAGTAAGAAAGCTCTTGTCGAGGCTGCTCGACTACAAGATCCCCTGAACCCTCCATCTGATATTCTAATTATTTTGCACTTTTTTATGCATACATACATGCATCCATATGTACGCATAAGCTGATGCTCTGCTAACTGCGCAGTAAGCAGAGACAGTGCTTAGGCTGCACTGCAGTGTGGGCAATATTATGAGAATTTATTTGTTGAATAATTTAATTTCTAGACGTACAATCTTAATGAGACTTTCGGACGTAATCATAATGTTCAAATGTATGTACATTCCAAAGCTCAAGTCTCTAGTACTTGAAATTATAAATTGGGGGCGAAAGGGGCGTGGTATCCAAAATCTGTAAACATCATACGTATATACACAGTAATTTTTAAGTCTCCAGGTCTAAAAGTGTTCAAAAAGGGCTGCAAAAAACTAAATCAATATTTCGATTATTCTCGATAGAAAAGTTAACGGATGATTTATCGAAAATAAGACATACTTATACTGCGTATGGTATACATGATTATGCATGCCAAATTTCAGCTTTATAGCTTTTTTATCTTGTGCGATCGACGCAATCATACGGATGGACACACGGACAGGGCTATATCGACTCAGCTCGTCGTCCTGATCAGGTATATACATATATACTTTGTGGGGTCTGCAACGCCTCCTTCTGTCCGTTAAGTACTTCATTATACCCTGATTTTCCATTTTCAATGGGAATTACGAATTATCTAATGACATTGCCTATACCCGGATACGTATATCTTGTAAGGGAAACTTCGAGTAGTACATGAAGCAAAGTCAAAGGTTAATGAAATCAGTTTAACCATTGACTTCAATGTGGGAATGTGCGAGACTGCGAGTGGCGGGCTAACAACAATACCAACAACGACATCGAGAACAAGCCAAGGCATGACAAGGTATCGAACACAGCAACTGCAACGCTGCAACGTTGCAACTGGCAACATAGGCAACAGTAACTTCAAGAAAAACACGCCGCGCATTTTCGTTTCATGTTTGTTTTTGTATAGGAGAACAAGAGGGGTGAATATGATATGAAATGCAGGCACACACACATAACCACAACTACTCATACATAAACACACGCACACACCCAAGCATTTGCGCATGGGAATTGGCCGCATAGCATGCAAATGTATGCAAAACGCCGTTGCATGTGTGTACATGTTCCACTGTTTGTTGTGTGCTTGTGTGTTGCATCTTCCGCTTCCGCTGACATCGTGGCGACTGCAGCCACGTCGTCGCCATTGCCATCGCACACACATACACAGAAAACCCAGCGGGCATCGGCTCAGGCTCCGGCTCAATTCCTGGCCCTGGCTCTGGCTGCGTCCTCAGCTCCGGCTGTGGCTCAGGCAGCGACACGGGCAACATGAAAGCGCCGTTGCATGCAACCGCACGAATGCCGCATTTGTGCTTTTGTAGCTGCCTGGTACAGGGGCGCAGTGCAGTTGTTTGTAGATTTCTGTGGAGCTACAGCGAGTAAGCGAATGGGAGTGATATGCGAGTGGAAATGTGAATGTAAAAAGGAATGGGAACGGGAATGGGTATGGTTGAGCTACACCATAATGCAGTCGGGCATGAATCGCTTCAACAACGTTTGCTTTTGTGCCGCGTCGCTTCTCCTGCGTTTTGCCACCCCAACATCAGAGTTCGCAGGACTCGGCAGACGTGGTGCCAAGCAGTGCCCAAAACTCGTTTGTCTCGCTCGCTCGCTCCCTCTCCCTCTCTTTGCATGCGTATTTCTATGTGTGCTTTTGCCGTTTCAGCAAGCAACAATCTTGGGCAACGAAGCGTTGGCATATCTTTGGCCGCCTATTGCGGCTTTCGTTCTTGTTCTTCATTCAACTCAATTCGCTTTAACTTAACTCGCCGCAGCTCTCGTCACGCACGCAACGCCACGTCGCTTTATATTTTGCTGCCTTTAGTTTTACTTTTGCTTTTTTGCAGAAATCCACTGTTGAGCAGCGAGCATAAGCAATGTTAACGGTATCAAAACAAATTATTAACGATCACAGTCAAGAAGAAGAAAGGGGATGAAAGAGAAATAGAGCGCGAGATAGAGAGAGAAATTTCGTCGAAGAAAGAGAGGGATAGAGAAAAAGAGACTCAGACAAAGAGAGGGAGAGAGTGAGATAGACGGGAGACACATATGTTTATAAGTAGAGAGAGCCAGAGAAAGAGAGTGAGGGAGAATATAGAGAAGGATAGGGATACAGACAGGAATAGAGAGAGAGTAAGAGAGAAATACACGGGGAGAAAGAGTAACAAATAGAGAGAGGGAGAGAGAAATAGAGAGACAGGCATAGAGAGAGAGAGAGAAACAGACAGACAGAGATAAAGAGAGAGTGAGACAGGGAAATATAGTACAAGATACACAGACAAGGAGAGGGATACAGAGAGAGAGAGAGAGAGAGAGAGAGAGAGACGGAAAATTGAAAACGACTCGTCTATATAGTCATGTGGCCCTTAGCAAGCTCTGAATGGATTTGTCATTCAGAGAAAATATAGATCAAATGTTTTATTTTGGCAAAGTTTTGTTTAAAGCTTGTGTAGGACGAAATTTGAAGTACCGAGTGTGGTGAATTGCAAAGGAAATAAAAATGGTCGAGTTGAGTGGACAGACGGTAACTTTCTTTGGTCTAGCAGCACTCGTGTTTGTAAGTTATTGTATTTACTTCGATCACAAACGGCGCACAGATCCACAGTACAAGCGGCTTGTGCACGAACGACGCCAGCGCCGACTGCAAAAAAACACCCTACGTAAGTCCCCGCTGAGCGCTGAGGTGGTCGAATACTTTTTGCGGCAGGTGTATCTGGGAGAGACCTGCGTACGCAGCAAGGATTGGGACAGTGCTGTCCACTATTTCGTCAACGCGATCACGTTATGTGCCGATCCGAACATATTGCTATGCAAACTGCAAACGGCGGTGCCTGTCGAGCTCTATGATAATATCATAGCCAAAGTTCGCCTGCTTGTCAGCACGTCCGACCAACAACCACGGGGCCAGCTCTCGAGCTCAGCAAGTCACGCGGAATCAACAGAGTCCTGCCGGACGTGTGCCACATGTTCGAGCGAGCTCCACTCAGATTAGCGATCTAATTTTTTCCTGTTTTCAACATGAATTCAAGCCACAGTGATTCGCTATAATTTACGATTCAAATGTAGCTGCGCTATTGTATTCTGTAAATACCGTCTCTTGTGACCACAAATCTTCATTCATGGACACAGATCCGTTAGCTGCTAAGCCTGTTAGATCTGTCAAATAAAGTTAAGTTTGCTAAAGTAATTTCAAGTTGGGCCTCCATATCATTTGGCGTCAGCCTATGTAGAGCTGATCGTTGATTAGATAACTTTGGATCCACTTTAACTAGTTCCATTTCCATTTCCATTTCCACTAAGATTTTCTCGAAGATTCGAGATTCGTTGCTCCAGATTGATCATTCCGGCAATGCATAAACGTATGTGTGTACTCTATATTGCTCATATAAACTAATACTTAAGCCTGTACCACGAAAATCAAACTGGACAAGAATGGAAAATAAATTACAAATTAAAGACCGCGTTGTTTTCGTTTGTGGCTCAAAAACTGATATAATTTGTAATACAATAAACTGCGGTTTTGGATAAAATTATATTTTGTTTAAGATTGTTGAGCTATGATAAACTCATCTTATGACTTCTTCCCTTTCTTCACATAGATCATAGGTCTATATGCTGTACCCATTGGGATGGAAATATGGTTTTTATACCCTGAACCCATTGAAAATGGGAAATCAGGGTATAATGGTTTT